AAGAATGAAAGTAGAAAGTTCTGCACCTGAGGGTACAGTTGTGGGTAGGAATGGGAACACATAGCACCTGCCAAATGGTCAGTTGGAATTGAAATTCCTCATCTAGTAGAGGCATCTACACCCCTCGCTATGAGTTTTCTCATCTGTAAAATGGGGCTAATGATACTTATAGCACCTACCTCACAGAGTTATCACAAAGATCAAAAGATGGAAATCTAACTTGCCCTATGGGCAGTAGGAGGGAAAAGGGGAAAGAAAAGGGAGGGGGGAGGGAAGGGAGGGAAGAAGCGGTGGGGGTGAAGGGGAAGAGGGGGGAGGGGGATAATAGAAGGGAGGAGATACTGAAGGAGGCGGTGGTCAAAAGCAAAGTACTGGTGGGGGGGAGGGAGAGAGGAAAAAGAAAAGCATAAACAGGGGGAAAAAGGATGGAGAAAAAGACGGATAATAATCATAACTGTGAAAGTTGAATTGCCATCTTTTTTTCTCTTGTTGAGTTTTGTTTCTTCTTTCTGATGGTTCCTTCTACTGGTTTTAATTTTTACTTACAACTTCACTAATGTGAAAATGTATTTAATAGGAATGTAAATATATAGCCTATATCAGATTGTGCACCGTCTTGGGGAGGGTGGTGGGGAGGAAGGGGGAGAAAAAAGCATATGGAAGTGATTGTTGATAAATCAAAATAAATTAATAAAATTTTTTAAAAATTAAAAAATGAAGAATTTAATCTAAAAAAGATCAAACTAGAAAATATTTGTATAGCTTTTTATAAATTTTAAAGTGCTACATAAATGGCATCTATAATAATAAGGGTTATTATTATTTTATTGGATTTGTAGTTTCATTGATGTGGAGAATGTCTGACAAGGATAACCCTTATCAGAAGAACTCCTAGACCAGGGATTTTAAGCTTTATTGAGTCACAGCTAACTTTTGGTAGTTTGGGGAAGCTTAGGGATCCCTCCTCAGAATAATGCTTTGTTGCCTACATTCATAATTGAAAGAAATGCTGAATAAATTTCAGCTAGAGGTTAGTGAAAATAAAGATGTAATTTTTTCCCACTAAGTTCACAGACCTTCTGAAATCTATCAACGGACACCAAAGGGATTGAGAATCTCTGCCCTAGACCATCAGCACTTGCTCTGCAACTTAGTCTCAGGGAGTAGTAGCTTGGGACACTGAGAAATGAAGCAGTTTGGCCAGGGTCAAACAGTTGATATATAAGAGGCAGGATTTGAACCCAGGACTTCTTGACCTGGCCAGATCTCTATCCATTATACCAGAGTGGAGGTGGTAGTGGTAGGTAGGAGTAATGCTGACCTAGCCCAACCAAGCCCCTGGTACTAGTTTCTGGGAGAAGAAGGGTGCAGCTAGGTATTAAAAGTTGTCAAGAGCAGAGTCAGGAAGATCCAAGTTCAAATCTGTTCTCAAATATTTACTAGCTTTGTGACCCTAGGCAAATTACTTATGTCTGCCTCAGTTTCCTCAACTGTAAAACAGGGACAATAACAGTACCTACCTTATAGGGTTGTTGTGAGGATCGATTGAGATCATATTTATAACATTATTTATCATAGCATCTGGAACATAGTAGGTGCTATGTAAATCTTCCTTCCTCCCTCCCTTCTTTCCTTCTTTCCTTTCTTCCATCACTTCCATTCCTCCTCCCTTCCTTCCTTTCTCTCTCCTTTCTTTCCTTCCTTCCTTCCTTCCTTCCATTCCTCCTTCCCTCCCTTTTTTCCTTCCTAAAGTTGTTGTGAGAATAAAATGAGCTAATATTTGTAAAGCATTTTTCAAAATTTAAAGCACTTTGTAAATGCTAGCATTATTATTGTCGTTGTTGTTGTATAGTAGCCCAGTACTCTGTACAAAGGCATTTATTGAATTGAGTTTTTGAGGCTTGAACAGCAGATTTAGGCCATGACAGCAAGGAGCATCGTCCAGTACAGACTTACAGAGAACCAATAGACTGAATTTTGAGCCAGGGACATCTATCCATTTTAGAGACTGGGAGAACATGGATGGTAATGTACCAAGCAAGGACGGTCACAGTTTAAGCAAGCAAAAGATACGGGGACATAATGAATCAGTGGGTTCTGGTTAGGTTCTGCAGAGCTACAGCTAGAATGATGCTTTGGACACTCAAGGAATGGTGTGATCAGGTCCCTGTCCGGGGTGGGGAACTTGCAGCCTCAAGGCCACAAAGGGCCACACTTGAGGCCCTAGAGGGCCACCTATTTCACCAAGGCCTCTCAGCTGGCACAAAAGAAATCTAAATCACTGCTAGGGTCTCTGAGGCCTCTGACATAGCTAGTTCCCTAGGGGATCCCTCATGGAGTACTCTATATCACTAGCAAGTTACCCTTGGGGCATCCTGTTCCCCAAGTCAACCACTTCTGAGGCCCCAGAGAGAAGAACAATTCTGGCGTATTACTACGCCATGTTCCCTTGAGGAATACAGGGTTAATACCTGTAAGTGTCCAGTGAGCAGACTAAACCATGTAGAAGACACTGACAAGAGGATGGGGAACCCTCAAAAATTCTAGGATTCCTTCTATGCACCATGAAGAAATTGTTCCCTATCTCATACTCCAAGCTGCTCGAGACCCTATTGTGTAGTTTCAGAATGGCAGGGAATCTAGTCACCAATAGCCCTTTGCTGCTGAGTTCCCCATTATATAAGCTGCAAACAGTCCCCACCCAGATGCTAAGATTCTCTTACTTTAGGCAAACAGAGGCTACTAAAGCTAGATGTGAACTCAGGTCTGAGTCCCGTCCAAAACCACCTCCTCTGGGAAGTCCATATAGCTATATTCCTTTTTGGTTTTTTTGGAGGCAATTGGGGGTAAGTGACTTGCCCAGGGCACACAGCTAGTGTTGAGTGTCTGGTCTGAGGCTGGATTTGAACTGTGCCACCTAGCTGTCCCCTTCCACATAGCTATATCCATAGCACACGTCCCCAAGCTGCCTCCCTCTTTGGGGTTACTTACCCCATTATCAGTCAATCATGTAACACCACGGACAGAGCATCCTACCTATGTAGAGTCCCATACTTGGCACTGTGGAGAAGTACAGGTGTCACTCAGGGCCGAGGGCCCTCCAAGCTCTGGGCTCACATGAAATGGATTCAAACTTGGTGGCTGCCCCAAAAGATCGCTCTCCCTTCCGGCTTGATACTCCCATTTGGCTCGCTCCAGGAAAATTTCCAAATGTAGCCCATATGCAAATTGCGGCATCTTCACACTTGAGGGTAACAGGGTTAAGGGTGTTTTTTCTTACACAGAGGAAGGAGGAGGTACAACCATAGCCCTCATATGGAGCTAGGAAGCACACGTGCGCACGTGCAGGAGCGCAAGCGCACACATACGCACATGGTAATGGATACAGATTGAGGCGGGGAAGAAAGACAGGTCTCAGACCTGAGCTCAAATCCAGCCTTAGACATTTACTAGCTGTGTGACCCTGGGCAGGTCACTTAACCTCTGTCTGTCTTAATCCACTGGAGGAGCAAATGGCAAACAACTTTGGTATCTTTGCCAAGAAAACCCCACATGGGGTCATGCAGAGTTGGAGACTGCTGACCAGCTGAATAACCACAATAACAGAAGGCCTAGGAAGATGGGATACAAGGAAGCAGGGAAGATGTTCCTGGTGTGGAGAATTCAAAGGCGTAAGAGGTCTAAACCAGAATGGCGTGCAGCAAACAAAGGACGGGTTTACCTGGATAGAGCAGAAATTATTAGAATCAGACTGTTCAATCTGGAAGGCACCCTAGAGGTCATCATTATTCCAACTCCTTAATTTGACAGACGAAGAAACCAAGGTCCAAAAGCCCTACTGGGTCTGGACCTTCCGTCTTCTATGCCTTTCCGCAACAGCACGGTCCTATTCCCAAGAAATAACAACAAATGAATCTGATGAGGACAAATGCACACGAGACCAAGAATGGCCAAGATCAGGGGTGTCAAATTCAAATAGAAATGGGGGCCATCAATCCATTCATAGGGATCCCCATGGGCCTCATATTGACTTAGTATTTAAAGGTAATGTTATTTAGGTTTTAATGTATTTTTAAAAAATTTTGTTAGATATTTCCCAATTATTTTTAATCTGATGCCAACTGCAGTCAAGAATGGTATGGCTAGCTGAGTGTTTGACCTCCCCCGGGCCAGTTGATAGAGGACCCCAAACCTCTCTAGGATTTCAGCAGCTTAGGTTCATGAGCAGTGGAGGGATGTGATCAAAACAGTGCCCACTTGGCCCAATTCTCTTTCCCATCTCTGTCAGTACTGAGCACACAAAGACAGGCAACGATAGCCCCACCCTCAAGGAGCTCACAGTTGGATGGGAGAGACAACACGCAGACAACCATGTCAGTCTGGGGCCTTGCCAGCTCTCAGGGAAAATTACATAGAATCATAGAATCAGTATGTTGGAAGAGTCACAGGACCATAGATATAGAGCCAGAACAGACCATTCAGTCCAAACCCCTATTATACAGAAGAGGAAACTGAGCCCCAGAGAGGTTATGCTACAGGCCCAAGGGCACATAGGTAGCAAATCTGGGAAGTGGGACTTGAACCCAGGTTCAGGAGCCAGGATTTGTCTGCTGTACCATCCTACTTCATCTACAGGGTCACCAGGCACCATTCTAGGCAATTTCTTTTTGCAAGACAACCAGTCTTTGGGAGGTGGCCATCTCATTCATATTGCTGTCTCTGGGAAGCATCACACCTCATGCAGCCTTAACAAGAGGTGCCCTGGAGGAGTCCTGAGGCAGGAGACACCACCTGATGGTATGGCCTCTAAGGGGATGTGTCTTCCCCCGACAGAAGTGGCCCAGCAGGAAGGTGTTCCAGATGTGACAGTAACTCAGCCCTCTCTTGTAAGACCAGCTCCCCGCTTAGTCTTCTCTCTGCTTGAGTGGGTTCCAATTTCTTCCTGCTGCTATTGCTCCTGATTGCCAATTGACTGATGTTTTCCATTTCATTCCCTTCAGGCTTACCTCTAGGATCCACAGTAAGAAGAGATCTCAGAGCACATCTAGTCTAAATCCCCACTTTATGGACCAGGAAACTGAGGGCCCAGAGACCCAAGATCAAACAGGTTGTAAGCAGTAAAGCCTGGATTTGAACCCAGGTCCTCCCACTCCAAATCAAGTGCTCCTTCTGCTACAGACCTCTGTGTCGTCTCCCCATGGGATCATTTGAGGCTTTGATTTCTTCTTGTTGCAAATGATCATTTCCTCCCTCTCCCACCTCCTGTGACATTGCTTAATTCAGCTGCTTCCTGCACCTGGCTTTGCCTTGAACGAGGAGGGTGGGATTAGATCCAGCCAGCAACCTCAGCTTACCTCCATGTGGGACTGGCGCCTCTCCTACTGCACTCACTATCTGCCCATATCAGGAAGAAATGAGCTTTAATTATTGACGCTGCTATGCCTGGAGCAGGGGATGGAGAGAAATTTGTGAATTTTCCACTAAGTCCCAAATGAGCTGCTCAATATCCTGGCAACATGAGGAAGACGGCAATGTTCCTGGTCTCCTGAGGCTGGCAGAGGTCACTCCGATCCCTCAGCCTCCCAACAGGCCTGTCAATCAACCATCCCTGGCTGATGGAGACTCATGGCTCTCTTTAAGGTCTCTGAAGAAAGGGAAGCGTCTGTAACTGGCTGAGTGACTGTGGGAAAGTCACTTCACCTTTGTGGACTGGATTTTCTCACCTTAAATGAGCTTGTATTCTATGATCTCTAAAGTTTGTCACACTAACATTCTGTGATTAATTCCTTTGGTTCAGATACCTCTCTTTCTCCCCTTTTTTGGGTTCTCTCTGTGGACAAGAAAGGCTCTGTAAAGTGTAACCTAAATATCATTGCAGTGTAAGTCCATCAGAGAGGGGCAGTGTGACGAGAGTGTGGAGGCTTGAGGATCGCTTCCCAAGTCTGATATTTTCTAGTTATATGATTCTGGGCAAATTGATTAACCTTGTTTTGCCTCAGTTTCTTAATCTATAAAATGGAGATTAATAATAATAGTTGTCCACTGATGGGGATGTCATAAGGAAAGCATTATCTAAAATAACAGCTATCATGTCATTTCTATACCATTTTAAGGTTTGCAACCAACTTTAAAAATATCATCTATTTGCAGCTTTGTTTAAAAATAAAAAAGGAAAAAAAAGAACAGCCAATAGGAGTAGCAGCAGCAAGAGGGAAAAAAAGAGGATTTTACACTTTGGACTTTGTATCAGGCACTTAAATTGCTGGAGAGACATGCCATTCTGAACCAAAGGTGTGAAAAATGGGTTAAAAACACTATGAAATTAAGTCTAACAATAGGTGGCTCAGTGGATAGAGCACCGGCCCTGGAGTCAGGAGGACCTGAGTTCAAATGTGACCTCAGACATATAACACTTAGTAACTGTGTGACTCTGGGCAAGTCACTTAACCCCAATTGCCTCACCAAAAAAAAAAAAAATTATCTAATTTGATCCTCACAGCAATGTGCCATTATTATTATCATCTCCATTTTATAGTTGAGGAAACTGAGGCAGCTAGAGGTGAAGTGACTTGCCCAGGGTCACATAACTAGTAAGTGTCTGAGGTAAGATTTGAATTCAGATCTTCCTGACTCCAGGCCCACTAGTCTATCTACTGCTTGACCTATATGAATAAAACTCAATACATGTGAGTTGTTAATATTAGTTACTTGGGGATGTAAGGATGACCTAGCTGAAGTATTCATCACTCTATTAACCACCAAATCAGATTCAACTGACCCGGCTGATTAGGCCAAGGAAATTGGCCAGCACTACAAGGTGTAGTTCCGCTGAACTTGGCCACAAGGGGGTAGTCAAGAGCCAGATACAAGTTCAGTGCCAGTCACAAAATACAAGGCCCAGCTGTCAGGGCAAAGGATGCCAGAACCAGAAAAAGTACTTTAGGGATACAGTTTATCTAAATCAGGTCAGCGCACTGTAAGAGATGAAATCGGGAAGCGTGAGATCCAAATTGATTCCTGCCTCCATCCCTGCCCCCAGCTGAAAATGATCATAGGTTCAGCACTGGAAGGGTCCACAGAGGCTCCAATCCAGGGCCCCTTTTTTTTAATAGTTGAGTACATTTCACAGGTAGGAAATATTTGAAGCAAGATTTAAACCCAAATCTTCCCATCTCTGTGACTAGAGCTCTATCCATTACACTCAGATGATCTTTCCCTACTCAAATTTTCCTAGAACACTTTGAATCTCTCTTTCATTCCACCCCAATTTTACCTTATATTATTCTTACTAGTGTATACATTGTATCCTCCTTACAAAATGCAAGCTCCATGAGGGCAGGGACTGTGTTGTTTTTCACCTTCCTATCCTCAGCACCTAGCATGCTCCCTAGAAAGGAGCAGTTGCTTAATCAGTGTTTGTTGAATTGAAATCAGGAGTCACCCATTCATTCCAAATATTTGTGTCTACTATGTGATCAGAAACTATGCAGAAGTCATCATGAGGATTGCTTCATTTATCTGTTGATCTAGATGACTGCTCCTTCAGAGGCAGCTGGGTTGCACAGGAGATACATCATTGGGTTCGGAGTCAGGAAGGCTTGAGTTCAAATCTGGCCTCAGATACTCACTGTCTGTATTTCCCTAGGCAAATCACTTAAGGTCTGTCTGCCTCAGTTTCCCCAACTGTAAAATGAGCACAATAATAACACCTACCCTCCAAGGTTGTTGTGAGGATCAAATGAGATAATATTTACAAAGCATTTAGCACCAATGTTTAATACATTTTTTCTTTTTTACTTCCAACTCTAGAATGCTTTGACTCTCAAAGAATTTGAAAAGGGATTTATTTCAAAGAATGTGGCCTGAGTTAGAATCAGGAAGAACATATCCAGGGTCAAAGCCTAAGAGCTGGTGTTCCTAAAACAGCATGATCCAAATCCCTGACAAATGCAGGTCCACCTTTTCCTCCTTTTAAAGAGGTGGTAGCATAAATGTCACAGGTGGCTAGGGCTTGAAGTGCCCCTCACAAAGAGCCATGTGAGATCTGACACTTGACAGGGGAGTGTCCCCTCACTTCCTCACTGCTCCATGTATGTCCTACCCCAAAATTATTGCTAGATAGAAAAAGATGTTTACCGTGAGAACAGTGCTATTCTTCAGTCAAGGGCATCCAAATAGCTTTATTCCATGCTTTGGGGTATAGAAAAAAAAATCCGGCTACAGGATTCATCCCATATCATTTCTAGAAGTAACAGAGAATCTCCAACTACTGCTTACCATAGAACAGACCCTCTCTTTGTGGGGGTGAATGGATACCAGGAGCTAGGACCTATGACTATCTTACCATAGCCAGCTCAACCCATCCAGATCTAGATTACCAAAAAAAACCTTTCCTCTTAAAAAATTTCCAGAAGGCTGATAATGAAGAATGCTATCCACCTTCTGACACAGAAGTAATGTGAAAATATGAACACATTTTTTTTATGATAGTCAACCTAGGAATTTGTTTTGCTTGACTAAACATAGTCCCATAAATCCCATACTGCATGGAAAATTATTTTCTTTTTCTTTTCTATCTTTTTTTTTTTTTGCAATGCAGGTAAAGAGGTAAGAGGGAAAACTAGGTACTCTCTCCTGCCATAAAGATCCTACAGGGGGTAATTTGAGGACCTTTAACTAATTTGGCTACTTGCAATCTCCACCCAGGTGAACCTTGGAACTTCACTATCTGACACTATACCAGTGATGATCACTGGCTCCCCTTGCAAGCACCCAGGCTCACAACACTTCAGAAAATAGAAAACTTACTTACAAAGTAAGGAGTTAAATTAGAACCCGTAGAAAATCCACAGGCATTTCTCTCTTTTACTTTCAATGTGCCATCTTCCTGTCCTTCCACTCTAGCATTGTGTCAAGTCTCCTTGACTTATAACATGCCTTGGGCAGAACCAGAAGAAGAGAGGCCCCCATTCCATTTCTAGAGGTAGCTCTCCATGTCCTTGTTTTTTTGAAGGCAGCTCTCTTCTTGTTGGTTTTCTTCTACTCTGGCTGCACTGTCATTTCTTCCCAAGAGGGTCTTGGGTCCCTTTCACTGATACTACTATCTTCAGTTTTACTTCACTGATTCCCCACCATTGAACTCTGCTCACCCAGAGATTATGCCAATTCTAGAACAGGACTAAATTACACTGAAGTCCTAGTTGATTGAGTTACAGCTTCTTCATTTCTTTAGGCACAGAAAACCTCCAGGCTATTTAAACCTTTAGTCGTTTTGCACTTATATCTCATGACCATCTCCCTCCTCCCCCCCCCAAAGAAGGAAGAAAGGAAGGAAACAAGCATTTAGACAGGGCCTACCATTCACTAAATGTTTTTTACAAGTGTTGTCTAATTTGATCCTCACAGCAATCCTGGGAGGTAGGTGCTATTATTATCCTCATTTTCCAGTTGAAGAAACTGAGGCAGACAGAGGTTAAGAGATTTGCCTAGGACCACATTGCTGGTAAGTGTCTAAGGCCAGATTTGAATTTAGATCTCTCTGACTCACAGCCCAGAGTTCTAGCCACTACATCTTCTAGCAGTCTAGTACACAAATGGTCTGTTTATGTGGCTGAGAAAATAGAGGATTTCATTTCTGCAATGAGTCCCACTCTGAGATGTACCTAAGTGAGTGCTTACTACATTCATCAGCAACTTTCCACCAAATTTTGGGGTTTGGAGTGACTCTCCCATTCTTTATCCCTGACTGCTTTTCTTCCTCCAGTCCCATTCGAGGTGATTGGACTGGGCCATGCAGACTCCCTAGGTTTCTTCTTCTTTTTTTTTTTAAAAAATTATATCTTTTGTGTTTTACATCCTCATAGTTTTCTCTAGTATTCCTCCCTTGCCTACCACCCACTCAGAGCAATCCCACATGACAAAGGGTGTTTTAAAAGACAAGAAGGAAAGAAAGAAAGAAAGAAAGAAAGAAAGAAAGAAAAAGAAAGAAAGAAAGAAAGAAAGAAAGAAAGAAAGAAAGAAAGAAGAAAGAAAGTGGAAAGGAAAAAAAATCAACACAGCTGATTAATACACTTGAAAAGTCTCAAAACCTTCAATGGACAGTAGCGGGGAACTCCAATCTACATGAAGGGATCAATTGGGTATATTCTGTCATGCTTCATCTTTACAGTTTTGCTATTTTCACTTTTTAATTGTGTGTGTGGTTATTCTTTCTGTTTACATTGTTGTAGTCATTGTGTGTATAATTTTCCTGGCTCTGCTTATTTCATTCTGCATCAGTTCATATAGATCTTTCCATGTTTCACTGTATTCAGCAAATTATATTTCTTACAACACCGTCATATTCCATTACATTCACGTACCACAATTCGTTTATCCATTTCCTAATTGATGGGCATTTTCCAAAACTTTGTTATCATGAAAAGTGAGGCAGACAGAGGTTAAGAGA